TAGCATACTTATCTCTCTAAATTTGCACAACTACCTAACTACTACGTTTCATAATTAAATGGACAATGTGAACATTCTCATGTTGATTCACCATCGCTCACGATCAAGTCAAGTGGGTCACAACAAGTTTTAACAAATCTTATGGCTGTTAAGATATGTAAATTAAGCCTAGGAGAACATTCATCAAATATAAAATTAAGATTTATTTTTAAACTTCAACAACCTACACTTACTATCAAATCATCACGAAAGAAAAGCATATGATTTCTACTCAAAATGCATAATAGATTCAATAGAAGAGTTTAAGAAATAAAACAATTTAAACTGAATATGTGATTTTAAAGGATCCCAAGACAGACCAACAAGCTCTACTTAACAAAATAAAAGTACATTAAATATGTGTTTACTGGATTACAATGCAATCAAAACAAACAATACTTTGCTTTAAACTCACTGAAATCCTTCTACTGAAGTTCTCTACAACTCCTTGCAATTGTTGATACAATCCCTTACAAATGCTCTCAGGTTCCCTTACAAATTTCTCTAAAATTGTGGAATCCTACTCCTAATATGAATTCTGTGAAGTCCTTGGGGAGTTTAAGACCTTGGAACTTCATCCCCAAGTCCTCAAATGGCAGAAAATTCCCCTTTCCAACGCCTCGAACAACTAAATTACCCACAGAAAACTGCTCTGGTCAGTTCTGGCGTCTAGGTGCTACCCTTTCTGTTTCTGGTCAGATTCTAGCTCCTAAGCGCCACATGATGCACTCAACATTGCTCCAATTGCCTTGTTTCACTCCAGTTCACTCGAATTACTTTACTATTATACCTGCACCAAAAACATAAAAATATCTTCTTTTATAGTGCAATTTCATTCTTAAACAAATATAAAAAGTAAAAGAATATAAGCATGCAAAGAGACATATAATTACCATGAAACATAATTTTCTGATGAAAAGAACATTATTGTGAAAGATAAGTGATTTCCAGCGTATGAAATATTATCTTGGTGTAGTACTGCGGGAAAGTTAGCATGTCTATATTGCATGAATTTGTCTAAGGTATTCACACTTCCACATGGCAAGAAGAATTCATGATTTAACCATCACCGTATGTTTTTAAATTCTGGACTCCCCTTCAAGAGGAACAGAAGTGCATTCAAAGAAACTGAATGAGATATCAATATCACCTTCAGTAGTACTTGGGAAAGATTCATTTCATATTATCAGTGATATTCTAAAGATTATTATTTGTCTCGACCTATCTTCACGTCGTTTATCAGACTTTGGTGTTATCCATAACTTGTTAAAGAAATCCATTTTTTGGGATCCACCTTTCTAGAAAGATAACATGATCAAGCTGAAACTTGATGTCATACTAGATTTGAAACAGTCAAGTTAAGTTTCAGATACATCTCACAATCCTTATGAGTACATCCTTTGGATGGAGGATGTTGGCAGGAAGAAGAAGGGCAGGGTCTATGAGTTGAGGTCCCAGGCACCGGCCTATGATGTTTACCTGACCTCCATCACATCCTGTGCATCCGCTTCCACTTCACAGGAAGAGGAGATGCATCACCATGTTGTTGTTGTGGTTGCTGCCCTGAGATCGGAGATGAGGGTAGAGATCAAAGCGGTGTTGCGTTCTAAACTGCAAAAAGGGAAGGAGCTAATGCAGGATGAGGGTGGGGATGATAATGATGAGGAGAGGACACAGGAGTATGAATATGATTTTTTTGTGTATTAAGCAAATTATTGTTAGTGAATATTGTTTTTTTCTATTCAGATGTACTTGTCATTTGAGTTAATTCGATTGTTGTTCTTTTATTTTTGTTTATGATTTATGCGTTACTTATGTTTGTTATTGTATTGTGTTGCACTTTAATTGCACTGTTACAATTGCAGGTGTTTAGATTGTAGCGTTGAAAGAGGGCTTTAAATTTTTATTTCTGATGGTACAGGTTTTTTATGGCATTTCAGTAGTTTTACGATCTTGTGATTATATGCCAATGGTTTTTCGACTGTTTGTCGAACAGGTGACTTCTGGACAAAATGTTGTATTTTCTCTACAAACAAAACCGTCAGTAAATTCTCATGGTTAACCAACAGTTGAGCTACATTTTACTGATGGAATCGTGACACTTTTTTGACGACAGCGCTACACTTTTCCTATGGATGCTTGTGTCGCTTATATAATCGACAAGTGTATTTTGCTAGGTCAGCTTTTTTGTTGTTAAACCGTCGATAAATATATTACATACGATTTATCTGTTATTACCGACAGTATTTGACCGTCGATAATAAGCTAAATTCATATAGTATTATTATGACTGAATATCAACATGCCAACATTTTCAAAAAATCTCATCCTATCAATTGTCGCGAACAACTTACCACCATGCTCATGATCTGCTCAATAAATCGCCATCTTGAAGGGGGTAATAGAGAGCTTACATGATTCAAACCTCAGTCGAGAGAATGCCCTCCTCGAGTCGCAGAAGCCGCGTGATTCTTCGGTTTCAATTACTGTCAGTTACTCCCATATTTAGGGATTGGGCCTATTATTAAATGTGTTATTATTATAATGTAGTATTATTACCTTTGTGCCCCCTGACAGACATTTATATATATGAAAAATATAATTGTATTGGGACTACAGTTGAATTACTAAAAAACATATTTTCTTGAAACTTTCTGATTCTTTCCATCTCTCTTTCTTTGGTTTCACCCTCCTCTCCTCAAATGTTTGATTCTTTCCATCTCTCTTTCTTGAAAAATTATTCCATGCGGATCGGCGTCCGCACGCAGCTTGCGTGCGGACGCCGAGAATTGTAGTACAAGCGACATACGATCCTTATTAATGATAGTAAGTGTTAGCATTATTAGTGACAGTAAACGATGAAGTTAAGGAGCATCAAAACATGTGTCGGCTGTAGTACAAGCGACATACGATCCTTATTAACGATGAAGTTAAGGAGCATCAAAACATGTGTCGGCATCTACGTGTCTTATTAAGTTGCACAAACTATATATTAACTTTAAAAATATCCTCAATCTTTTTCATCAAATCCAGATCAATTAAATTGCATATCTTGACAATCTCAATAGAAAAAGTTACAGAAATACAATTTAAATTTTGATTTATTAATTTATTTTAGCCTTTATAAAATTATGAAATTTGATGATTATATCTTAGTTAATTTGTTTTGCAAAAATTGAAAATTAATCAAAATTTAAAAAACTGATTAAATATTCCGTCTAATTCCTCTCTTATAATAACTAAGAATATTGTCATATCACATGCGAAATGAAATAAAATATTTTAGAATAAAGTACAATTTAGTTTCTACTATTTTGTTATTTTATAATAATTTTATGTTAATCATATTCATAAATTTATATTTTTTTTTCTTTAAATTTATTCTATGTTAGGAGAGTAATTTTGTTTAATCTTCTATGATAATTTTTAATTACTTTAAGTAACAAATAATGATGATAGTTACTATAATATTTCTAATAAAATATCATAATATTAAGATGTAATGATGATAGTTACTATAATATTTCTAATAAAATATCATAATATTAAGATGTAATGATGATAGTTACTATAATATTTCTAATAAAATATCATAATATTAAGATGTTTACAGTTTGCATTTACTTATATGTAAATTAAAATTATTTTCTTATAAATTTTTAAATACTACAAAAGTACATGTTTTAATATTCATTAATCCTTTATATATCTACTATTACGGATAAAAATTTAATATACTTAAAAAAATAATGAAGAAAATGAACCTTTTTCTACGGATAAAAATTTAATATAAATATTAATACTTAAAAAAATAATGAAGAAAATGAACCTTTTTTCTTAAAAATTATTTTATCAAAACTTCAAACTGCTGCCCAATTTTATATCATTAATTTGTACGTTTCTCCTTCGTATATACATTTAAGATATGTTTTTACTCTGTATTTTTATTGATTGTCAATCCAATCGTGATTACTCGAAAAAGGCGCCCTAAAGATGATGTACAGGCTGCTGTGGTATTTGTTATAATGGAAATCTAATGAAAGTGGCATCATCCCAATTGAGGTTCATCAAGTGAATTTTCAGGCGACGTATGAAATGAAGCTGACGTGACATGTGTCAATTAATGCAACAATAATTCATTCATACCTAATTAAGCTCTGGAACAGTATATATGCAAATTTCTTACTGCACTATTGCTCTTCCATTGTTCCCATCATCGCGACATAATTAACTTTCGGAGACAATATTAGGGTAATCTAACCCGAGACGCCGTTCTTTGACAGTCGCAAGTTAAGGTTTTGTCATAGAAGACGCTACCGTTTGAAATTTTTGAGCGTGCGAAATTCACAAAAATCTGCTCTTCTTCTCATCAACGGACACATATAATCAGTCACGTAACTCAATTGCCACGTATATCCGCCTACTTTCTTTTTTCCATATGAAGGGACACTTTTTACCGTCTCGCTTTAATTTTTTACCTTATCTGTAATTATTTTTAGTTAACAATAAAATTAATTAATTACCAATGTTACGTACTTGTCGACACTCTTAACATAAGGCATACGGTCAACTCAAATACCGTAGCCATGCAAGAAAATAAAATAGTCATAAACTATATAAACGCTTGAGAAACGCGAGGAAGCCAAAAGGTTGTGGGCCCCGCTGTCAATCAATAGTTGGGGTTACGTGGCATCAGATGGTCAACGCTAGCTAATAGGAAAAGCGCGGAGTGGCCTCATTGCGCCTCTTAATCGCCATCTTAGCCTCCGTAATTCAACTGTTTAAAACATATTAATCCCCTTCCAGCGGTGTTTAGTCCCTTCATTAACGAGCCACGTCGCCACAATGATAAGCAGAGGCCGGCACCGAATCCTTTTGACTTTCGCCTTGGCGTCTTCTTCTCCCTATAAAGCTCCATCCAAGCGCTGCCTTTCTCCATTCGAACTCACATTAATTGCATCTCCTTCAAGCTAGCAGCTTTCTCTCTCTCTCTCTCTTTCTCTCTCTCTATCGACAAGCTGAAACAAGTTTTATAGATATTAAAAGAAAAATGGGAAGAGCTCCTTGCTGTGACAAGAATGGCTTGAAAAAAGGGCCTTGGACGCCCGAGGAAGATCAAAAGCTCATCAATTACATACAGAAGAATGGGCATGGAAGCTGGAGAACCCTTCCTAAAAACGCTGGTAAGTGACTTTCACATTCCTCCTATTAAGTCTGTTACATCCTTTGATTTCCTGCGCTGCCGGAGACTGATTAGCTTATGAAAAACAGGGCTCTCGAGATGCGGCAAGAGTTGCCGTCTTCGGTGGACCAACTACCTCCGCCCCGACATCAAGAGGGGAAGGTTTTCCTTTGAAGAAGAAGAAACCATCATCCAATTACATAGTATATTAGGAAACAAGTAAGTGATTTTGACTTAAAAAAAAAAAAAAAAAACCTTTTTTAACTATTTCTCTTGTTTTAATATCGATCTTCACATCAGAAGTACAAATTAAATTAAAATAAAAGCGTGGTCTCTAATTGATGTGCTCTCTTGGTGAATGAATTTAGGTGGTCGGCCATAGCCGCACAACTCCCTGGAAGAACGGATAACGAGATCAAGAACTACTGGAACACACATATCAGAAAGAGGCTTCTTCGAATGGGAATTGATCCGGTGACTCATTTCCCGCGCCTGGATCTCTTAGATCTATCCTCGCTCCTCAACCCAATGCTCTGCAACCCAGGGCAATTGGATTTGTCCAGGTTGCTCACTAGCATCGACCCACTCGTAAACTCAGAGCTCCTGAGGCTCGCCTCCAATCTCTTGCAGTCTCAGAGCCAAAACACAAATCTCGTCCCAGCCCAAGAACAGCAGGCGCCTAATCTCTCAACAAGCCAACAAGATCTCGCCTCATCTTACATACAAAATCTAGTTCAATCGAACTCTCAAAATGTTGATTTTGATAGCTCGGCGCAGTTCAAATGGCAGAGTACTAATAGAGCAAATAATGTTTGCAATTTGGGGGACAATTTTATACCGGTTGATAATAATGGTAGCTACAACGTCGATAACATGGGGCAGTACATGGTACCAAATTTCGTGCGGGATCAAAATGATCAGACAGCATTCAACTTCCAAATTCCTTACGATGTAAATCATGACTCAGTTCTGTCGACTCCATCGTCAAGCCAAACGTTGAACAACTCTAATTGCTCCACTTACCTTAACAGCAGTACAGATCATGATCAGGAAAGCTATAGCAGTGCTAACTTGTTCAACTTTGAGATTCCTGACTTGCTTGATGTAAGCGATTTCATGTAAATTAATGATCGAGAAAAATGCGAGGGAATTAGATCTGGCTTAGGATGACGGAGAAGAGAAAGTGAGTTCATTTTGTATTTTACATGTAAATTATACACCAAGCCAACATATTTTCAATACATGCATTTCTCGCATATACTTTGATGTGTGATGGGCTGATATGATTTATTAATTTTATGATATAAGTATTAATTATCTTTTATATTGCATTGAAAATGTGTTGGCTTGGATATAAAAATCACCTTTTTTTATGTGGAAAGCAAAAATGAAAATGGAAGCAGCAGGAAGAATTGAGTCCACAGTTTTCCTTATGTTCAGACTGAAGAGCGCCTTTAGAATATGGTTCCTCTTAACTTTTAAAATCGGGCAGCATTTCTGATGCTGCGTCATTGACCGGTTCAAAGTTGCGTAATGGGAGGCAAACTTGGAACTGTTCTGTATCAAGGAAATCGCATGCTTATAATTATGTAATAATCTTAAAACGCATTTTATAATAATTTTAATGTTGATAGATCGACTGAAAGTAAAATTTAAATGTTCAACATAATTTCACTCCTTACGATTAATGAGAAATTTCTGTAATATCGCACATTAACATGGATTAATGGACATATTTTGAGTAAGAAGCGAGCATAATTACTCTACATCAAACTACTATAATGAGAAAGTTTTTCTGCTAATTGTCCCCTTTATTCTTTGGGCATGTATATATATTTATCATTATTTAGGTAAACCGCCACAAAGTTAAGCGAGTTACCCTTTATGTTAAGTTTAAGAAAGCATCTAAAAGTGGGGGCAACCACCAATAATTTTGGGCTGCAAGTGTAAATTAGTATATTTGACTTTTTTATCTTAAGGTTTCTTGTGAGATTGCACTTAATATTTGATTAATAATATCAGAAGAGAAGGCTAAGTTGAAAGAAAAAAAAATTTCTTCTATTTATACAAATATATATATATATATATTCTGTATGAAAGGACCGAGGTAATATTCAAATTTACTTGATTGAAGAAAATTAAGTAATATAGTTTATAACAACTGCTAGAAATAATTAAGTTCGCCATCGAGGAAGATTGTCCACATGTACTACAAATTTGGAATATAATAATCGTTTCAATTATTAAATAAATTGGTGTGCAAGCCAACGGACTAACGCCATGCTCTCTCAGGTGGGGCTATCTATTAGTCGAAATTGATTGTGGAGCCTGTTGAGTGTGGAGCCCAGTTATAATATAATAGTCAGGTCCCCCCGCCCACTGTATATATATTTATATATAATCTGAAGCCACGCGTATTTAAACACTGGAATAAGATGACATGTATGAAATACAATTCAAATTTATTTTCTTAGATATGATGAATAGCAATTATCAATCACAAATTGATAGGATATGATAGCAATCAACACAGCTTTCCAATTCTGAGGTAGTTATCAAAATGCTCCTACTCAAAAGCTTTTATGGCACACCAAAAGCATGTGCAATAAAACAAAAACAAAACAAAACAAAAAAAAAGAAGCAAATTTACATATAGAACTCAAATTTTTTGATATTACATATATTTCACACCCAAATTTTTTTATTTAAACTTATATTTCCCAAGATATTATATTAAGCTAACAAATAATGTCTCCCCGTTAGAAATAATTACTCTTTGATTACAATTGATTACAAGTTATCACCCACATCTCGTATCACAGGACTCAGGTGGAGAGGCACCATCTCCACTCCATACTTGTAGCCAACCTTGAGCACTTGCTCGTCTCAGTGCATCCAAGCTTGTGATGTTACGTCGACCTCCCCAAATGCATGGGAATGTGTTTTCGAAGTCGAGAGTGAACAATTAGCAGCAATTGAGGAACACGTTTGTTATTTTGTTTTGTTCCCGAGAGGGAGGTGGAGCTATTGGAATGATGAATGAAAGAGAAGAAATGATATATAGATACAGACATGATGACACGAACACGACACAACAAAGCCACATGACATTTTCTTAATAGAAAATATATGTTAGTAGGTGTCATGCACAATACTATAACATAAAGAGCCATTTACATACAAACCACCCAATGATTATGCATTTACATATCCAAACCCTAAATTTTGCATTTTTACATGTATATCACTCAATTCTTTCATATCACATATAAAACAATACTATTTTAACTACTAAAAAGTGCATTCTAAAAAGTGAAATGCACTTTTTAGTGTATAGGCCAAGTTGGCATATATGTAAAACTTGAAGTTTAAATGTTATAGAAATGTAAATACATAAGAATTGAGTGATACACATATGCAGACGCTTGCGCGCGCGCGCGCACACAGAGATATATATATATATCCTTTGTGAGCATGCCTCGAGAGTTTAGGATTGAGTGAAAGAAGAAAGAGAAAATCAGAGTATAAGTCAAAAGTTTCCTTTAGAGAGAATTGGTGAAAAGTTCTTTTATTCACATTTTTGCCTCCGATTATAGAGGCTCATTTTGTATAATTACATAAATGAGGAAGCAGTTGAAAAATATTTTTTCTCAAATAAGTTCCATAAGACTATGCATCCATGTATATCCATACATACCATGCCAATTATATAACATTATAGCCTTATAGGTTAGAATAAGTTGTGGCATGAACAAAATTGATCAACTTATGAGTTACAAGTATTGCTGTTCTTAATGATAATCTTAAATATGAAGGTTTAGGTTAGCCTTATTGTTTCCCTCTTTTAATGAAAGGAATTGCAGGTTGTTTTAAGTTCCTTGTGACGTTTATGAATCATGAGTGCTCATCCAACTCTTTTAATTTCATGGTAAAATTCAATCGTGATAAAAAAATATGACTTGTTGTAGAAGTTCTCAATGGTTGTGAAAGAGTCATATGCTGATTTTCATTATTAATATAATGACATCAAAGCTAAAATTTTAGATACCTATATAAAAACGTAGAATCATGATCACTTAGTTAATTGCACTTCTCAAGACTTGTAAGCTGCTCATTTATTGTACAAAAGAGATAGCTGTTTCACTTCAAATAACTCCTATAATTAAGGGAAAAATATTACATCAGTACTACGCACGTAGAGTAACGAGCGTATCCAATAAAATCACGCCACGATGCCCCGCACGACGCAGAAAAAAAACGGCGCAGTAACACGGGGAATATTCCCCTCGTGTTATTCATGTGTTATTGTGTGTTATTCATGTGTTATTGTATTCTGAGAATATTCCTGGTGTTATAATAACACAATAACACATCAATAACACATGAATAACACGCAATAACACATGAATAACGCGCAATAACACATAAATAACACAGGAGGGAATATTCCCCGTGTTACTTGTTCTGCCGCGCGAGATGTTGTGGCGTGTTTTGATTGGCTACGCACGTTATTTTTACGTGCGTAGTACTGATGTAATATTTCTTCATAATTAAGGGGCATTTATGTGCATGCCACACAATTCTCATATATTTACACACCTAGCATCTAAACTTTCATATTTACATACATACTACTAAAATAGATATCAGATAAAGAATATCACTATCATTAATTTTTTTTTTAACTAAAATACAACCATTGAGGCAAATATTTTTAAGAGTAAAGTGTTATAAATATAAATATCAAATAATAGGAGTTAGTTATGAAAATGCATAAGAATTGTGTGGTAAATTTTTCTATAATTAAATAATTAAATGAAAAATAAATTACAAGATATATAATTAAAATCTTTAACTACAAAATACAAATTTAAATACTTTAAATATGTTTATACTTAATTTTTTAAAAAAAGAATGACTCAAATTTAACTCATTAGTTCATCGAATCTCGTTCATTAGCGATATAATGATCTGATTTCAAACTAATTTAACTTAATTATATTCCCAAATAAAGCTGTCCTAAAATAGGAGAAAAAATAAAATAAAATAAAATCGAAAGAGCCCTTGATCAGTGCCAGGTGTTTAATGTCAAAGAAAGCATCAAAGTCTTTCGCACACGTGGAGAAAATTAAAACGACCCATTTTTATGTCAAAAACCTTATCAAAAAATACAGAGTTCGTAAAAAAGTTGAAAACAGAAGGCATCAAGTATTAATGATGCTTTACCATGCTCAATTTTCAAGTTTAAATTAGGAAAATTTTAATAACCTGACCCTGCCCTATTTTGTGCTGCACAAATAGACCAAATATAATAACAATGATTTTTCTTTTTTAACTCACGTTCGCAGGGTGAAGCACATTTTCTTACCAATTTAGTCCCTAACTTAAATGAGGTGGTTATCCAGCTTATTACTAAAGAATTTGTTGAATTCAAGCATATGAACTGAGAAAATGAAATTGAGAGAGGGAGGAGAAGAGGAGGGCTTGCCTCTTCTGGACGGGGCGCTTAGACCCTTTTTTTTTCAATTAAATAAGCAAAGTCTTTCAATTAGTATCAATGCTGGTTACAATATGAAAGGACTCTCATATTTATAAATGAATGGAGAACCAAAAATAAATTACAACATCATCCTTGCTTTACCAGGCCTAGTACAAAATTTCTTTGATGTTCTAATATTCTTATCCGAACTATTAGATTGTCTTGAGATCTGTGCAGACCATTTGTTAAGTGTCTATATTAAGTTCTCCAAATTTCTTGTCTACGATAAGGACAAAAAAGTTTATAAAGCAAACAAAACATGAGCACAAAAACCAGTATTGATACTCTATGTTAGGCACTCTCTGCGCTCAATTCTGGAATCCTTTTGCGCCATTCGTTGTTAATTTAACCTTGGGATGGTCCGCCTATTACTCGAGATTTTTGTCGTTGTAGGGTAGCGAATCATCTCAAGAGTCAAAGACGATGGTCGTACACCTCTCACGGAGCTTGTTACTGCCGTGTGGCTAATCTTCTCAAGGGTCGAAGACAACCTCCGTACAACCTCGCGGAGCTTCTTGTTGTTGGCTGGCGATTTATCTCAACAATCGTTGTACACTCTTAGCCAAGTTTGTCGTTGTCGGGTGGAGAATTATCTCTGGGACAATCGTTTTACACCGCTCACCGAGTGCCACCACCGCTACTTGCATTCACCGACAATTGTAATAATTCAAAATACATTATTTTCATTTTACTTCAAAAAAAAAAAAAAGTCTTTGGTTTTTTTTTCAACCAAACAGCTCCACATTTTTATGTTCATTTTATACCATATAACCTTTTCAGCAAACACTTTTAGTGATAAAAGTCTTGGAATGAATCTAATTAATCAAATGAATTGGTGATTAAAAAAAAACATGTGGATGTACGAGGGATAGAAGAAATTGACATATTTTCTATTATCATAGTATGATTAAAATCGTGAATAAAGTTTCTTTAACTTATACCACTTTCGTTCCCAATCTTACTATTTTGAGCCTGATTTGATGACAATGCTTTCTAACTTTCAGTATTTTGTTGATTGCCATATAACTAAATTTGGGCAGCCATCACTAATCTAATCGCACGATATACGCAACATTGAAAAAAGATTTATCAAAATCAATAAAAATAAAATATAAATTTTTATTTCATTTTAAATTAATGAATTCTTTAATTACAATTATTTTTCAAAAAAAAAAAAAAATTGAAATACGTTTGAAGACATTAGGGAAAGCAGGCGGGGGCGTAGGGCTGGCGTGTAGCCGCTCATCTGGGAAAAACGCTACAGGGAATGGCGGGGGTGTCTTGGGACTCCGGTCTAAAGAAGGCAACTTTTGGGGTCCGACAGAGCACCGGCCGCCGCCGCCAAGCCCCATCGGACCGCATGACAAAACCCAATTAACGCTTCTCCGTGGCTTGCTTTTCCCTTTCATGGTGGGGTCTGTTAAATAAAAATAAGAAGGAAAGAAGAGAGAGGATGGTCAATGAATACTCTATTTTTCCACCAAAACCATGTGCTCTTATTTATGAGAGGTTGATGTTTTGACACCACATTTCAGCTTCTATCTTCTTCTAATTCCCAAAAAGAAACTTTGAACCGCAGAAATCTGAGGCATTTGAGTGAGCCTCTCTTTCAATTAAATTTTATTAAATTATTATTTTCGTAATATTTGATGCGAACTTAATGGATATATTAATCGGAGTGGCAATTCCATCAATCACTTCCGATTCCTTTTAGACCCCTTTCCATGTTCATAATCATTTCATCCATTTAAACCTTCTTCACCCCACCATTTCAGTTCAGTTCGGCGCCGTTACAGCCGAAATTCAGGAAAATAAATAATTAAACAAATAAACAATTATGAATTTGATTTTAATTTCTTTTTAAAAAAAATTGAGTGACCTAAAAAAAAGGTTGATGCGATTTTAATGTTTCATAAATTATAATTTTTATATTAAAATTTTCGAACACGGTACTGGGAAGGGAAAATAGTCCCTTCTTAAAATTGAAAAAAAAAAAATAATAATCAAGTTTATACAGCTTTTTTTAACAATATTAAAGTTCGAATAAATTGAAAAATGATGACCTATTCAAATATTATGCTGAATTCAGACATTTGAGAGTTACTTCCTCCTAACCGTTAACGCAAACTTTGTGTCGACGATTTGCAATATCCCAAATTTATCTGTCAATACATAAAATATCGCTCATGTGAACATAATTTAACAAAAAAAAAAAGGAGTCTGCATTGATTGTGTGGACATGAGGATTCAAAGTTGGAATGGAAAAAGTGTTTTTTGGATGCTTGTGAAGCGAACGAGTTTCACATTTTCATAAAACAAAAGATTTCCACTTATTTTCGTCGGCAATTATTCAAAGAGAAAAAAAGTATACTCACACTGCAATCATTAACGTTGATCCCTCGGGGTTTCACTTATTGGACCGCTTCTGCATTACTAATACTTAGCTTATTAAACTTTTTCACACGCGAAATTTACGCGCAATTCTTATTTATTTATATATCTAACACCCCAAAATTTGATGTATATAATTATAACAACTTGTTCTAAAAAACTAATCACGGTATTTTTGCAAAATGGAGCTTATTAGCTCAAGCAGGAGAAATCAAGCTATGAATCTATTAAAAGAAGTTTCTTGATCGAGTTTGGCTAAACAAGAGACTGCATGATAATTAATATATTATATTTCACTTGAATTTATTGTGAATTTCTTAATTATCACCAAAATATTGAGGCATTTTAGAATACTTTTTTTGTGTATTGCTAAGAGAGGTCTTAGAGGTGATGCATTTAGCTAAAATAAGGGCGTCTATACGGAGTCGGGTTTGAATCACTCAAATTCACCATTTTATTATATTAGTTGAAAAATTTAACCCAAACTTAACCTAACATTAGCCCGTCTAACCTGAACATAACAGATTGTACCCAATTTACTGTGAAGATAAAGATGATATAATCTTTTACTTCAACAAAAACTAATAAATAAAATATGATTTATTTAGCCAAACCAGAGCCCGACTAACCTAAACCCAAATAATAGTCAAATTTAAATTATTTAAATAATTAGGAACTAAAATAATAATCAGTCTATAAGGTTAACCAAAATAATAATTGGGTCAACCTAGACATCAACTTTTCAATTTTATCAAATAAATCTTCCAACATCATAAAAAAAATGCTAAACCATAAATAAAAATCCATCAAACATTATACTATACACAAACATATTCTTGAGTGCTACCATATGATTAACCTTTTAACACACTTCCAAAGATCAACACTAATAATTTGATTTGTACATCTGCCCTATATATATATACATGTGCCTATTTAAGAGAGTTTAACAAATGCGGCTCATAGAATAATTTACATATTTTTTTAACTGTAGCACATATCTGTAGTCCGTATGTATTGAGCCTTGAGCACGAGATCATATAGCTGAAGACAGAGAGCCCAATTCCTAAGTTAAGTGGATTACACTCATAACATTGTCTATATATCAAAAAGCTATCCTATCAATGATTTACATAACACTAATCAGATAATGAGAAATAAGGCATTATATAAATACATTTAAAACTCTTATCAAACATTAAAACATCATGGAGAAAAAAAAAACAAACAAAATGCATGATAATCATTGAATATGGTAGATATATTTAGAATTCGAATGGCATAAAGGATAAAGTGCCCATAGCAGATGTCATAGCATTTTAAGTTATGAGCACAATCATACATATTAAAAAATCATAAACAACATCACAGAAAATAGCAGAACATAACAGGATGGAGCTCATATAACAACTGTTATCAACATTAATTAATCTTCAGTTTGTAGATTGCCAACCAATCTTTTATGCTGCTTTTTAAATATATTTTAATTTAATTTTCATCAACAATGAACAGCCTGCCTTCAAACCAGGAAAAAAAATATGCATCTTTAGTTATCAAGTTCTCTGCTTTTTATTTTTTTAAAAGGGAATGATGAGCCTCAAAATACCAATATTAATAGTATAAACTAATATTTGCACAGCATATTTATTAGAAACAGAATAAAGAATTTCAAAATATCAGCTTCAAGCCCACACCCTGCCACAAAATAATAATAATAATAATAATTCGCTGTCATAATTTGGACCTAAAACAAGAAGCCAATAACTGAGAAAATGAAATCAACTCTCAAACCACACGATTATCACTGTTTGACAAGTAGGAAATGTTGACCGCTGGCCGTGCAACAACTAGCAAGAACCAGCATGTCCTTCTCCTCCTTAATTACTGAAAACAAATTGCATTAAATTGAACAGATAAGGGCCAATCGTATTGGGCCCCAACAAATGAGCGTTGAGAATTAAAGATAATTAAAGATAAATTAATGGACTGCCAATACTGAATGACATAATGACGCAATTATTTGAAGGTTAGCTATGACATACATGCTTTGCTCGGACAGGAGGAAACTAGAAGAAAATGAAATGAAACCTCAAGAAATTGTTGGATTATAATATGATTAAAATGAATCTACAATTATAAATAAGTCTGAACTTTCCATCCCCATTTTCCCCACTTTTTTTTTTTTTTACGGGGAATATATTTGATTCGGGGTAAAATTTATAAGAAAAAAAAAATTTACGAGAGTTATTTCATAGTTTTTATATTTCTCTTTTTGATTCTCTGCTTGAAACCAGTAAAAAATTGACGCAAAATTGAAGTGTGAGTTTGTCAATTCTTTACTTTATTAGTTAGTGATTTGAATCAAATAAAAAAGCAACTCAACTTCTCCTCAACCAAATAAATCAATGAAAGCTATATACTCTATTCAACATCTTTAACAATTTTATCTTGATCTACTTTTTACTCTCTTTCAAAACCTACACACCAAACAGAGGCTTAAATTCCACTCACTTGAACAATAACGAATAATTATATCCAAGGAAAATGCTTCAGGCAGACTATTAATTGCCCATCAACTCAGAAGCATCTCAATATATTATTTATATATTTTTTGATTTTATTATGTCTCATTACATTAGAAATTAGTAAAGGTTTGTAGTTCACTTCATTTATTTTTTTTATTAAGAAATAACATTGCACAGGACTATGAAAGTTGATGGAAAACTGCACCGCCGAACGCCTGAAAATTTTCAAAGAACTCCTGTCGATTGAGCTAGATGGGAAAGAACTAAATAACCGAATTGCAAAAAAAAATCTGCTGCACTTCCAAGAACCGAAGGACTACAGCCCAAAAACTTGGACTGTCGTAGAACACCTTCCTGCAGCGACTGGATTGTTCAAGAACACCTTCAGCTTGCTGTAATAGCTGAATAGCACCTGCAGTTAAAAAAAAGGAATGTCGAAGGACCCTGCTGGTTTGCTACCAAATGCCTGTAGCCCGAACAGCCAAAGACTGGGAGCTTGTACAGTCGAAGGATCACCTTGCTACTAAAGGAATTGTCGTAATTACTTCGCTGGAGGCCAACAAGAATAGGATTGCCGAACTTCTTGCTTCATGCCAACAAGAACCTGAAAATGTCGTTCTTCTTCCAGCAGCCAAAAAACAGTTTTGGCTGAATTGCCAAAGAACTCCTTTGTTGTGCCGAATTCCTGTTTCTCGTTTGGACAACCCAAGAAACACCTGCAGGCTGAAGACTGGAGGTTGAATATCTTCTGTAGCTGAAATATCGAAGACTGCTTGCAGTCTAAAGTTTTCAGAAATGCCGAATGGGTCTCCTGCAAAGCTTCGACAATCTGGACAACTGAATGAAAGGAGAAACAACCGCAGCAAGCAAAATAGAAAAATAGGGAAAAACAAAAAGGAAAACTGCAGGAAATGAAATGCAAAACAGGAACATAAAAACACCAACCAATTACGTGGTTCGGTCCATAGGACCTACATCCGCGAGAGGGAATCAACAGCAAATCCACTAAAACAATTCAGAAGAAATTATAAGTTCTTTTACATTGAGGAATGAACACACCTCTTGATCACTTCCTATTGAAGTTACCTCGATACAAGATCTAAAAAACTCTCCCCTCAATGCTTAAATCCTCTCCCATGTTTCTTCTTGGACTGATTTTCTTTCTCTTCTTCTTCTTCTTCTTGGTTCTTACTCTCTACAAGTCTCCCTCGTCTGTTTATAAAAAATGAGGCCTCCCAAGTAGACCCGGTTCACCATAGAAGCTTCTATGAATCTTTAACAGCTTCCATGGTATTACAAGTTTGTCATTGTCTTAGCTAATTGTGAGTTCTTGAATCTCAATTACAAAGTTCCGTAATATAGATTCGCTCCATCTAGCCCCTTGTTGAGTTCACTAAATCCAGACAGTATCTAAACTTAGATGTAGGTAACACCTTGGTGAGCATATCAGTTAGATTTTTTTTCAGTACGTATCTTCTCCTCAACTACTGAACTCTTAGCGACATCCTCCACAAAATAAAGTTTTACATCTATAGGCTTAGACCTTTCATGAAAGACCTGATATCTGGTTAGGCGAATTGTGCTTTGGTTATCACAGAACACAGTTACAACCTTCTAACATATGTCAAGCTCTTTAGCCAAGCCCTTTAGCCACATAGCCTCCCTCATTGCTTCTGTCATAGCAATGTTTTCAGCCTCTATTGTTGAGAGAGCCACAACAGATTGAATGATGGACTTCCAGCTAATGGTAGTACCGAAGACAATGAAGATGAATCCAGTAAGCGACTTCCTGGTGTCAATGCTTCCTACATAATCAGAGTCCGCGTAACCGACTATATTTTCATCTTTGTTCTCCTGCTTCTTAAAGAGCAACCCCAAATCAGATCTTTCATGAAAAGTCTAAGCATATAGATGTAAAGCTTCATTTTGTGGGGATGTTGTCGTTAAATGTTCAATAGTTGTGGAGAAAATACCTACTGAAGAAAATCCAGCAGACATTCTCACCAAGGTGTTACCTACAGCTAAGTTCAGATACTATATGGAACTCAACAAGGGGCTAAGAGCCCCATCGAGGCTAGATGAAGAGAATCTTTATTACGGAGTTTTGTAATTGAGAGTCAAGGTAGAGAATTGTTATAATAGACTCACAATTAGCTAAGATAATGACAAATTTATAATTTCATAGAAACTATTACAGATTCACAGAAGCTTTTATGGTGAATCGGGTCTACTTGGGAGACCTCATTTCCTATAAATAAATGAGGGAGGCTTATAGAGAGTAAGAACCAAGAAGAAAAAGAAGAAGAAAATCAGTCCAAGAAAAAGGGAAGAGGCTTTAAGAATTGAGGGGAGAGTCTTGAGGTCTTGTATCGAGATAATTTGGAGACGGAGAGATCAAGAGGTATGTTCATTTCTCAATATAAAAGACCTTGTAATTTCTTCTGAATTGTCTTAGTGAATTTGCTGTTGATTTCATCCCGTGGATGTAGATCCTACGGATCAAACCACATAATTCGTTGGTGTTCTTGTGTTTTTGTCTTGAATTTCATTTCCAGCAGTTTTCATTTCTATTTTTTCTTGTTTTTCTGTTTTGTTTGCTACGGTGATTTTCTCCTTCCATTCAGTTGTCCATATTGTCGAAACACTGCAGGAGACCCATTCGGTATTTCTAAAAATTGAAGACTGCAAGCTACAGAAGATATTCGACCTCTAGTCTTCAGCCTGTAGGTGTTTCTTAGGTTGTCCAAAAGAGAAGCGGGAATTCGGCTACAACAAAGGAGTTCGACAATTCAGTCAGATCTGTTCTTCAGCTGCCAGGAGAAGAACGACATTTTCAGGTTCTTGATTTTCTTGAGGTGCAAAGCGGTCCTATTTGTCTTCAACAAAAGTTTTATTTCAACCATACTCATTCATCTGCTTTCACACACCAAGAGTGCGCTCCAAAGCTTTGTTATCGAGTTTAATACAAAAAATCCCCAAGTTTTATCAAAATTACAAGGATATCATATTTCCTTATTCTTCAGCCTGGAGTCCCTAATTCTTTCCCAATATAGACACTGAACGAACAAAAAAGAGGCATTTAAATACATACCATCCAGTTCATATATTAAGGTTTTAGGGAACCTATCTTCCGGTAGATCCAATCCGAGGAAATATCCAGGTTCTCAATATCACCAACCATTCCACAGTCGCCCAGAGGCTCCTCATTAGAGATCAATAATTAATAATACAACAAAGAGTATTATAGTCATCCCTCAAGCTCTCATCGTCGAAGAGTGAGCTACATATCGGGTTACGGTAATTCACTCTCTGCTCGTTAGTCTAACGTCGCTCTGCCAATAGGAGTCTCTCACCAAGAATCGAGGGATGACAATCAGACTAGATCAACTGATCAGTAAAGCCTAGCCGATCAAATCAATCTTGCCAACGTAAAACCAATTAAGTTCAGTTGACTAGCTATGCTAGCTCAGCCTGGTCGATCGAACCAGTCTTACAGAGCCAAAGCCAAACAAGCTCAACCAGTACAGTAAGAGAGCCGAATAATAGACGAATATATGTAAAATATCTAGAATACTCCCTACAACCCTCAAGCAGGGGGCAAAAATATAACATCATCATATTTTACTCTCTCCTATAAATAGAGAGAATATTTTATGAATAAGATACGATCAATTATTGTTCATTATTGCTCGTTCCAATCTCTCTCTCTCTCTCTCTCTCTCTCTCTCTCTCTCTCTCTTTCTCTTCCTCCCTCCCCTTCTCCCTCTCTCTCTCTCTCTCTCTTCTTATGCTCCATTCTTTGAGGTATAATTCAAGAACAAATCAAGATTCAACATATATATTTATATATCTAACAACTAAATATTATTTTTTTACATTTATACTTTGGGTAAGGTGGCAAATATATAAAAATTGAAGCTTATGTGTTAGATATGTTAATACATAGGGATTGATATGTATGCAAACTTTATGAGAACAAACGTCAAGAGATTTTTTCTCTAAGAGGATGTTCTCTTCATTTTCATAATATTATGAAACTTTTTTTCTCTGAAAAAACTATTTCTGCACTTTGATCAATTTCAAGAAGTGAAAATTCATTGTTGTTTTCAAGTAATTCTTAACACCACAAGGCAATTAATGCAATAATATCTAGAAGCTAGTTTAAAGCATGTTTTTACATTTAAACACGTGCATTGTAAAACATTTAGTTTTTATTTAAAGATTATTTTGCTAAAAAATTTAAAATAATTAATAAAAAAATAATTTCTCAAATTATATGCTTGCCTGAATTATTTATAACTTCATATCATTACCATACATTTAAATCAAAATAACTTTGACTAGAATCAACATATGTCC